ATACAATTGTTAGTTAATATATATATAAATAAGGTAATTATATATATATATTTGCAAAAAATATACTAACCTTAAGTTATTATCGCTATTGACAAAATACTTAGTTAATTCATATCCATAGTATAGAGATGATGATCGAACATTTAATTTGTTTGATCATGACAACATAACTAGTTATAGCCAACCTATAATATATTCAACAAAACTTAACCCAGCTTTATAGTTTTATGACTCAAACACTGCACCTTCAAGACCGGCCTATATATCAGTACTCGGTCTATGAACCAAGAAAAGAAAAACCCAATCTAGTAGATGGTATGGACTACTTATTAGAAGAATTGTGACTTCAATATTATATAATTATAAGAACTATCAGAAATGATATACAATATATATATATTTTATAGATATTTTTTATACCAATTATCTTCTATTATATTTACAAAACTGCGTCAATTAGTTCTTTGGAGACAAGTAATGAAGTCAAAAGAATCACAATACCGCAGTACATAAATAATCTCAAAATATATTTTTATATACCAAATAGCAAAATGGTGTTAAGGATATGGAAAATTGTACACAAACACAAATAGATTCTTGTCTTAAAGACTTGTGTAATTCACTCAACAGATTCGAGTCACAAAAACAGCAAAAACAACAATCATCATTTGAAATATTTGGTAGTGGTGGTGGTACATTTGGACAACCCCAACTACAGAGATTCGGAACACCTCAAAACACATTTGAAGCTTCTAATACCAATCAACCATTCACATTTGGAATATCTACTTTTGGACAAAATACAATTGGATTTCCAGAAACTCAACAAGGGTTTGGGACATCTATAGGTAGGAACAGTTTTGATCAAAATATAGCTAGTTTTGGTGTATCAATACAACAAACAATTGAAGGATTCAGACAAACCGCATAGCCAGATCTATTTTTATAACAACAATTCAAGTTCTAAGGTAATTCTATCTGGTCTTAGTCAAGTAAAGTTAAAGGTCTTGTAACTTTACTGATGTCTTATGTCTTTTTCTTTTCTTTTTAATTGAGGTCACTGGTTTTTAATAAAGTATTGTTTTGATCTTTCTTTTCTTCTATTATGCACCCCTAACCCGCGCATAATCATCGTAACTATTCAATAATCTGTTACATCCGGTAATACAATTTTTATTTCAATTCCAAAAAGACTACTTCAAAGTCAAATCCTTATTTTGCTTAGAGCACATGTAGAACTTCTTTTATTCTACCTCTGTGCTTAGTTAATATGTCTATTATGGAACCTCAGAAGTTAACTTTTTTATCTTCATCATGCTTGCACATGACTTATATGAAGTGATTAAGAATCCCTTTCTTTGTATCTTCTTTTACTAAGAATAAACACTTATAGTTCAACTCTAATAGATACCTTTTTATTTTTAAAAAAAGATGAGTTGATTAAAAAATTTTGTAATTCTATATGTCTATATAATTAAAATAAAAAATAAAAATTAATCAATTTTAGGTAGGCAATTGTTGAGATATCTTCACTCAAGGTTTGGAAAAAACTTTGCTGCAGCTTTTTTTAATAGTTACTCAAGTTTTTTTAAAAACTTTAAATGAAAGATATCTTGACAATATCTATTTAAAATCAATAAATTTTTTTATTCTGATTTTACAATTAAAATAAAAATTTTTTATCAATTTTAAATAGTGGCTGCAAAGTTAACTTCACTTAAAAAACTTTATTGCAGCTGTTGTTTTAGTTATCCAAATTTTTTTCTAAACTTTGAGCGAAGATATCTTAACAACCACTATCTAAAATTGATAATATATAGTTATTGGATGTGAAAGCAGCCAATAATAGAATTATTTGCAAAATGATTTATTTTATCTGGCTGCATACATAGCATCCAATAACGGGTTTATCGGGTGGCTTATGACGACTGAACTAATAGAATAATTCAAGTTCTTTTGGTAATAATTGGATCAAGACATAAATGTTTAGAACCTGATTGTTATATTAAATTAGCTATGAGATATATGAATAAAGATCATGATAATGATCTACTGCAACTGAAATTATTGAAATAATTACTTATTGATTAAATAAAATAGGTCAAGAATATGATAATGAAGTCAAAAAAACAAATTTTAGAAGCTAATAAAATTAAACTAGAATTAATTGAACAAATACATTCTCAAGACATATATACTAGCAAGTTGTATGATACTAAAGCAATTTTGGATTATTTTAGTAAGATTGAATACTAAGCATATTTTTTAAATTAAATTATATATATAAAGTACCATTTTTCTGTTTTAATAACTTATTAAATATTCATATTGATATTCAAAATGCTAATTCGTACAAATACTAGCTCTTAGGACCCGGTGTTGCCCGGGTTTGAGGCTCTAATATTTTTTTAATTCTTAGGCTTTATTTATATATTTAAATTCGAACTTATTAAACCTTTTCTTAAATTATTTACTAAGCCTTTAAATTGTTTATTAAACCTTCACTCAAATTATTTACCAAGCCTTTGCTTAATTTGCTTGTTAAACATTCGCTCAAATTATTTTTTTATATAACTTGCTAAATTTTGCTTAAATTATTTATCAAGACTTCATTCATAATTTTTTTTTTTTTTTATAATTAATTAAATCTTTGCTCAAATTATTTACTAACCCTTTGATTAAATTGCTTATTAATCTTTGCTCAAAATTATTTTTTTATATAATTTATTAAACCTTCACTCAAATTATTTACTAACCTTTGCTCAAATGATTTTTTATATAACTTATAAAATCTTAACTTAAATTATTTACTAACTCTTTGTTTAAATTGCTTATTAAACCTTTGCTCAAATTATTTTTTTATAAAACTTATTAACTTATAAGCCTTCACTTAAATTATTTTACTAATCGTTCAAATTATTTTTTTATATAATTTATTAACTTATTAAACCTTTGCTTAAATTATTTACTAAGCCTTTGTTTAAATTGTAAATTAAACCTTCACTCAAATTATTTACTATGCCTTTGCTTAATTTGCTTATTAAACATTTGCCTTAATTATTTTTTTATATAACTTGCTAAACTTTTGCTTAAATATTTATCAAGCCTTCGTTCAAATACTTTTTTTTTTATAAACCTTTGTTTAAATTATTTACTAACCCTTTGTTTAAATTGCTTATTAACCTTTACTCAAATTATTTTTTTATATAACTTATTAAATCTTCACTTAAATTTTTTACTAACCCTTTGTTTAATTGCTTATTAAATCTTTGCTCAAATTATTTTTTTATATAACTTATTAACTTATTAAACTTTCATTTAAATTATTTTACTAACCCTTTGTTTAAATTGGTTATTAAACCTTCGCTCAAATTATTTTTTCATATAACTTATTAACTTATTAAACCTTTGCTTAAATTATTCACTAACCTTTGTTTAAAATTGCTTATTAAGTCTTTACTCAAATTATTTACTAAGTCTTTGCTTAATTTGCTTATTAAATATTCGCTCAAATTATTTTTTTATATAACTTGCTGAACCTTTGTTTAAATTATTTATCAAGCCTTCGTTCATATATTTTTTTTTTATATATAACATATTAAACCTTTACTCGAATTATTTACTGACTTTTTGCTTAAATTACTTATTAAACCTTCGTTCAAATTATTTTTTTATATAGCTTGCTTAAATTATTTACTAAACCTTTGCTCAAATTATTTTTTATATAACTTATTAAACCTTTGCTTAAATTATTTACTAACCCTTTGTTTGAATTGCTATTAAACCTTTGCTCAAATTATTTTTTTATATAACTTATTAACTTATTAAATCTTCGCTTAAATTATTTTACTAACTCTTTGTTTAAATTGCTTATTAAACTTTTGCTCAAATTATTTTTTAATATAACTTATTATCTTATTAAACCTTTGTTTAAATTATTTACTAACTCTTTGTTTAAAATTGCTTATTAAACTTTTGCTCAAATTATTTATTGAGCCTTTGCTTAATTTACTTATTTAACATTCGCTCAAATTATTTTTTTATATAACTTGCTGAACCCATGCTATCAAGCATTTATTTAACTTTGCTCAAATTATTTCCTAACCCTTTGCTTAAACTGCTTATTAACCTTTTCTTAAAATTATTTTTTTATATAACTTATTAAATCTTTGCTCAAATTATTTATTAATCTTTGCTTAAATTGCTTAATCACCAAACATGAGGCTCTTGCACTGCTTGCGGCTACCATAGAACATAGATTCTTGCATTACTATAGCTACCATGGAGCATAATCTCCTTGTACTGTTTTTGTAGTTGCAGAGCTTAATCACCAAACATGAGGTTCTTCACTGCCCATGGCAGCCATAGAGCCTAATTACAATATGAGATCCTTGTATTATTACTGCAGCCACGGAGCCAGTTGTGGACCTTATAAAAAAAAAATTAAAATTTTATTTAGATCTTGTTCAAATTATTATTTTAAAAAATAGGCATTATTTGTAATAAAAATCTGAACAAAATCTGAAAAAAAATTATTTTTTTTATAGAAGCTTATCACCAAACATGGATGGGTTCTTGCATTACTTGCGCAGACTTAGAACCTTATCACAACATAAGGTTCTTGTATTGCTATCGTATCCATGAAATCTAATTATAACATGAGGTCTTTATACTACATAATACAATATTAGGTTTAATACGCTTATCTCTAACTTGCAACTCAAGTGCCTAGTTTTTAAGTATTTAAAATTATTTTTTATTTATTTTTTTTTTATTTTTTTTATCTTTTTTTGCTTTTTTATTTTTATTTATTTTTAATCGATTTTTATTATTTTCTTAATCTGTTTTTTTTATTTTTTTTTTTTTAATCATTTTTTTATTTTTTTTAATCTTTTTTTTTTCTTTATTTTTAATCGGTTTTATTTTTTTTATTTTTATTTATTTTTAATCGATTTTTATTTTTTTTTTAATCTGTTTTTTTTATTTTTTTTTTAATCATTTTTTTTATTTTTTTTAATCTTTTTTTTTCTTTTTTTTTAATCAGTTTTATTTTTTTTAATTATTTTTTTTATTTTTTATTAATCGGTCTTTTTTATTTTTTTTAATTGATTTTTTTTTAATTTTTTTAAAATCTTTTTTTTATTTTTTTAAACTTTTTTTTATTTTTATTTTTTTATCTTTTTTTTTATTTTTTTAATCGTCTTTTTATTTTTTTTATTATTAATCTTTTTTTATTTTATATCATTTTTTTTATTTGTTTAATCATTTTTTTATTTATTTTTTTCATTTTTTTATTTTTTTTTTAATTGTTTTTTTATTTTTTTAATTATTTTTTATTTTTTATCATTTTTTTTATTTGTTTAATCGTTAATTATTTTTTTAAAAAATTTTTTTGCCATTTTTTTTTATTTGTTTAACTGTTTTTTTTTATTTTATTTTAAATTATTTTAATTTTATTTTAACTTATTAACTTATTTTAATTTATTTAATTTATTTTTAATTTAATAAATTTCATATACCTAATCCAATTTCGCGGAACTGCAAAAGTGGTGAGATCACATGACTTTCGCTCTTTTGCATTCTCGCGAAATTAGCAAAATTTAAACTCCAATTTTGACAGAGTTTAAAATTGGGCCAATTTCACGAGAACGCGAAAGAGCGAAAGTCATGTGACCTCACCACTTGATCGGAGTTTTAAATCTCCGATTTGAAAAATTTTTTTACCCACCTGTACCTGCTTACGCAAGTACGCGTGGGTATACACTTTTTGCCTGCTTGCGCAGGCAAAAAGACACATTTTTTAATTAGTGACACCACATGCGTAATCATGTAGTGTAGACTAGCTCTTAGGACCTGGCGTTGCCCGGGTTCGAGGTTTTAAATTTTTTCTAATTCTTAGAACTTAGTATTGCCCAAGTTTGAGTTTCTAAT